TGAGAGAGAGAAAGCATCCGAAAGAAAGAGATCCAGCATGAGAAAATAGGCATCCCCATAGAGAAATTCAAAGCTAGGACCATTTTGAGAGAGAAAGAGACAGAGGGCATCTAAAGAAGCAAGTAGATAGTACAAACACCCCCAATGGAGAACTCTAGGAAAACGCAGAAGCCATTTGCGTACCCGAAGCGGCAGTCCCAGCGACAACAGCCTGCATGTACCTCTCCGGCAGCTCTCCGGCCGACCCGATCAAACTGCCCTGCACCAGTGCATCCCCCATTCCAGACAATCCAGTTGCAGCCACCGTCACATAATACGCACCATACAATCCCCTCCTCCCCTTCACATAACACACATCCATAACTGGAACAACCACTAGAGAAACAACAAACATCACTAGCCCAAGGTTTATCCTTATATATGCCCTCGATTTCTCGGCCACCCTTATAATTATCAGCAGAAAAATCAGAGCCACCAACATGTATGTCACTGCAAATACTCGGTCCACTGCGACGCCAGGGTAGAGGTAGGCAAAGTAATCGACTGCGGTGATGAAGGCATTCCATGGGACGAGGAATCCTGCCCCTAGGATGAAGTAAATGATGTATGCAAGGTGGAAGGAATCAGGGGGGATCTGGGTAGAGAGAGAATTCGGGTTCAGTGGGGTGGTTTCTAGGGTTTCTGATGAGTCCTTGGGAGATGTGGAGGAGAAGCCCATTGTTGAAAAATGGTGGGATTGGGTTTGCTTCTTTTGCAGATGGGGTTCTCTGTTTTTTTAGGGTTAAAGTTTGAAGTCGTGAAATTTAGGGTTTTCGATTGCATGGCCTAGGTTTTCGCAACTAATTTCTCTGAAACTATAGCGCCATGGCCAGAGTTCACAAGGTGAGATCGATGAGGTTGGTGGTGAAGTTGTTAGCAATCAATGATTGCAACCAAACGATATACCCCTTTGTTTTTCCGTAAATTACGAAAATGCCATTCTTCCTGCTAATAATAAACTAAAATTAGAAGGAATAAATGTGTCATTTTGTAAATTACAAAAATGGCAGAAGAAAAAGTCTAGTGGTTGGTCAGGAGAAGGAATATTGTGCTCCCGAGGAAGCATATTATACTCCATATGGCAGAGGATTTGTTTCAGAGGATTTTTCAAATTTTGGGAATCACCAAGAATAGCTAAATGATCATTTCACAAGAAAAAGTTCAGATTTTTAGGCAAATATACTCTATTTTAACGATAGCAATACTTTCCATCTACTCCCTCCCTTCCAAAAAAAAAAAACTTTATTGGATTTTTTTTTTTTACTATCAGATTATAGAATCTTCCCAAAAATGACTATTTTCAAAAGTTTTAACATATTTTGTCATGTTATTATTATTTAAAGGAAAAAGTTTATACAAGGTTGAGGCCCTAAACAATTAAATTTAGGCGCACTTCAAAAATTCGATAGAAGGTGTTTCGATATCTAAAAATCTTAAAATCCAACCATCTCAGACCTTGAGATACATGGACATAAAAAAAAAAAAGATAGTTTTTCTCTTTAAATTGAGATAGTTGTTTCTCTAAATAATTTAAAGTAGTTTGTTTCTCTCTTAAATTTGATATTGTTTCTCTTTCTAAAATTTTGATCAAATTTTTTACAAGGGGGAAAATTTTTACAATAGGGAAAATTTCTTACGTATTTGCCGCATACTAAATGTGCGTAACATAATTTTCGCATGAAAATATTTTGTACAAAAATATTTTCATACCTACCAAATGTGTGCAAAATAGTGTAAACCAAGGTTATGCAAATAGATGATCCAAACAAGGGATTTACATAATCTGGGTATTATCTAAAAATTATCCAAACAATCATTTCTTAATAATCAGGATTTGCATAACCATATGATCCAAAAAATAGTTTGTCTACCTTAGGATCCAAACGAGCCCTAGGTTGCATATTAATACAAGAGCACAAGTCCTGTGTTACAAAATTGAAAAATAGTTTTTAGTTAATATTCTTTCTCCATGTTTGGAACCTAAACAAACAGGAGTATTTGCATCACTCGGTTGAAACCACCCCCCTAGTTCCAAACTGGTTCCAATTTTGAAATAATAAAATTTTAAATTAGACCGTCTGCGGTACTTGCATGTATAGATGCATGCACATATGGTAATTATGGCCTCTATCATGAACGGCTAATTGTGTTATTAAAGGAAACCGTGTGAGCATTTATACTCGTGTCTATGCGCCAACAAAAATTAGGGAAAATATCTCTTTATCTTTTATTTTTAACTTCCATACATCTCTCTCTAAAATCTATATCTCTTTTTTTCGCTTCTCGATGAGTTTATCAGCTAAAGGGTCTCTTTTTTTCGCTTCTCGATGAGTTTATCAGCTAAAGGGTTTAGTTTGAGCTTGAACACGAGCACACCTTCTTATGTATGAGAGAGAAATAGAGTTTGAGAGAGAGAGAGATGGAGTTTAGGTTTTAGAGAGAGATGAAATTTGAGTTTTAGGGAGAGAGACAGTGATGTGTGTGTGAGAGAGAGAGAGAGAGAGTTTTAGAGAGAGATAGGGTTTTGAGATAGAGATGATAATGTGTGAGAGAGATGGAGTTTTAGAGAGAGAGATAGATAGAGTCATTTTATAAGTTGTTGAGGTCAATAATAGATGGTCAAAAAGATTTTGGGGGTTGGAAGATAGAAAAGATGGAGTCATTTTGCTTACAAGTAATATTTTAAATTTTTGGGTCTCATGAGATATAAAAGTTAAAAATAGAGAATACTAAGATATTTTTCAAAAAATTATACAAGTCAAGTGGGTTTGTATTATACCATAAGCTACTTTGAAAAATAGAGGTTACTTGGACTCTAAATTAGGATAAGGTACTTGTTAAGGGGCTCTATAAAGTGGGAGTTAATACCTTTGCTCAGCGTCTAAGGAAATAATTTCGTGTGAAAGACTTCCCTTGTAGGGTTAGGTGAAGGAATATTTTAACACGGATTAGTCTCGGTATATTTTCTTCACACAACTGACAACTAATTGGTGTAGTAATATTTTCATACCTGACTACATGTGAAAATTTTTTCACTAGTGCGAACCAAACTTATTGTAAGGTAGTTTAGATTTCCATCCAATGCAAACTCTCTCTCTTGTCACAATAAATATATTCATTGGAGATTTAACTAGAAATATAAAGAGAAATTATCAGAAATATATCTTAGTTATTGTCTAATTAGAAAAAAAAAGACTCAAACATTCATAAAGCTCATCTATATCCTTTTTCCTTAATTTTGACTTCTTTTTTTTTTTGGGACAAAAATAAGCTTCACGGTAGTCATATTACCATGAAGCCTATGCATTACGGTACTTAAAGTACTGTGATGACTAAATCTTATGCATCACGGTATTTAAAGTACTGTAATGGCTAAATCTTATATTTTAACATGTTATTGGAAGGTAATGTCTTGAGGACATTACTGTACTTTAAATACAGTTATTCGTAAGACATCTTATACGGCACTTAATATGTCGTGAGGAGCTAAGACCAACCGTGTACCCCACCAATGTGAAAACAAAAAAAGATGAAAAATAGCGATGCCCCTATAATATTTTCATTTATCTTCTCTTTCATGTGTATCTTATAAAATTAAAAAGATATTCTTTTTTTTGACAAATAATTAGAAAGATATTCTTCCTAAAGTTTATATCTCATTGCACAACTATTTTCTTTCTCTCTTCTTTGATCATACGGGGATATATCTTTATACTATTTTTCATTTATCTTTTTAAATTTTAGAAGATATCTTCGTAAATCTTTATTTCCCCAGATTTTAGGGGATTTTAAAAATAGAAACTCCCTCTCTCTCTCTCTCTCTCATGTAACTCTCTCTGTCACACCTTTACATATCTAACTCTATCTTTTAGGCATTATTTTTAAGAATATCCTCCTATCCTATTTAAAAGGCATCAAAAAATTTAGGGGAAAGTCCTTCTCTCTCCTTCCACTTAACTCTCTTTATCTTTATCTCCTTCACGCAATAAAGAAAATAAATATATAGGAAATCCCCCAAGTTCTCTCTCTAGGTACAGAGATAAAGATGAAAAAGAGATATTGTGATTCGAAAATCAATATGGAATTGTTCGATCTGACTCGGTAATCAATCACCCTGTTTTAGTTCTACATATACATATAGGAACACGGCTTAGTCCAAAAGGGTACTAGTGGTTTCGAACAGTAAAACAACAATTATCTACAGTAAAATGGTGATCTTGGCTGTTAATTCACCTATCTAGATCGGTTTTTGGTCAATTCATTGTTTCTTCACATATTTTTCCCTACTTCACTTTTTTTTCATACAAACAAATGGTGATCCAGACTGCCGATTCACTTATCTCGGACCTATTTTTGGAATGCCCGATCCAAGTCACCGATCCATTTTTTAAAAGACCCGGTTTTTATGAATCCCTAGACTCGTACTATTTTCATGCAGGCTCCCTTGAGCGCCCATTATTTGTATCGATATTGGATCCAAATTTGTAGTGATCCATGATCTACATTATGGTGAACATAAATATAAGAAATAAAATATAATAAAATAAACTTTTAAAACATTTTTATTAGAATATTTTCTTATCGTTGGATAGGAATATTTAGTTGTGAATGTTCATCTTAAAGTTGAACATTTGTGATTGTGCAGACTAGTGAATCCGCTAACTCACAAAACACTTTTTTTTTTGTTTTTTAATCACTGATTTCAACTAAGGAAACCGTTTCTATGAGTCCATGTCGAAATGAGTCGACTCTTAAAATTTTATTTTTGAGATGGATTTTTGCATGCAATCTCTAATATGGAGATCATGAATATAAAAAAATAAATAAATTTAGAAAAATAAAAATAACGATTTAATGAAAATCACATTTGGACCGTTAATCATCATACAAATATGACTTTAAACTATAATTCCCCCCAACCTCATAGGTGCAACTTTTACTTTGAAATGAAATAATAACACAATGAAAGGAAAAGGTTTATATTACTCCTAGGTTTTATAAAGTAATACTACACGTCAAAACCAAGTAAGAAGAAGAGGTATTGTCCTCAATGCAACAAAGAGGAAATGAAGACTACATAGAGAGAGAAACAAGAGAACAAAGAATTTAGAGAGAGAGAGAGGGGGGAGGGAAAGAAGCGAGAGAAGAGGAGGAGAACACGAAGACAGCTTCGATTTTAATAGAGGATAGAATTAGAGACATATTTGGAAGGAATAGAGAGAGGTACAAATAAACATGAGGGGAAGAGTGTGACTTTAGTCCCATATCAAAGCCACACAAGTCATGTATAACAAATAAAAGTTCCAAGTCCCACATTTGAAGTCACTGAGCTCAGTAGCGTGGGCTTGTAACTCAAGCGAGGGCATTCAAGGTGGTCTGGACGGTGACTTGGCTCTCGTGGGTGGGTGGGTTGCGCGTGGTTCAAGGTGTCCTCTCCAAGCCAAGAGTTGGCTGTGCCCATTTGACCCAAGGATTGGGGTAGATTGGTACTTAAGAGTGGAGGAGATCGCGTGAGGCTGGTTTCACAGAGCAGCGATTACCTCCCGCTCTTAAGAGTGGAGAAGATCGCGTGAGGCTGGTAGATTGGTACTTAAGAGTGGAGGAGATCGCGTGAGGCCTGGTTTCACAGAGCAGCGATTACCTCTCACTCTTAAGAGTGGAGGAGATCGCGTGAGGCTGGTAGATTTGGTACTTAAGAGTGGAGGAG